CTGTCATGCTTCCATGCTCGGCCTTTCCAGGAGCTTGGTCAGGGTTGCAGGGCCTGCTGGTCCTTCAGCAGGCAGATCAGAGGGCTCATCTTCACCAGGGCTACTGGGGAGGAGTTTAGTAGTACTGTTCAGCCTTCATGAGTGCTGGCAAAAGCTGTGAGAATTGTCATACCTGTGCTCAGGTTCCTCACCTTTCTCTTGTTACCCCCCCTCCCCACTTCTAGTTTCTCCTCTGAATGGTCAAAGTGTCAAGAGCAGGCCTTTACACCCTGGTCTCCATCCCAGAACTGTCAGTCAAGCAGCCCCTTCGCTGGCATGTGGTCAGACTGGTTCCAAGGCAGCCAACTATTCCCAACATGTTCTGGTCACTCTTAGAATAGAAGGGGCCCTAAAACACTAGTGTATCTCCATCAGATCCATGTCTGAGCTGGCAATATTCAAGAGTCCTGGTACTGAAGTAAGAATCCTGCTAGGCAATGTGGCACAGGCCCTTAATCCCAGCACTCAGAAGGCAGAGGTAGGCGTGGTCTACAGAGCGAGCACCAGGACAGCCAGGGCTGTTACACAAAGAAACTCTCATCTCAAAAAAAAAAAAAAAAAAAAAACAAAAGAAAAACAAAAACAAACCCTAAACCTGCCCCCCCCCCCAGGAATTCTCCCAGAAAAAGACTCACCTCCCAGTTCTGATATATCACATACATATTTCCTGCCCTTTGCTCGTCTTTGCTCTAAATCCTGAAACTGTGGTTGGCAAGGTGCTGAGAACAGGAGAATTTTTCTGTCTAGTCGGGCCAGTCATAGAGATACCAATGTTTGGGCAGGGGATGTAGCTTATTGACAGTGTCCTCGTGTCACCTGAATAATATCATAGGTTAGAGCTCCCAAACTACATGAGGCTGATCTGGTGTTTTCCAGTCCTGTAATGCCTGTTATCTGTGAACTTGGGGAGGAGAGGCATTAAGATCAGAGCTTCAGAGTAACCTCGGCTACAGATGTGCTTGAGATCAATTTGCAACACTTGAGTCTCTTTGGGGGGAAAAAGACTTTATTTCTTTTCTGCAATTTCTAATTTTTTTCTGTAAAGCAAAACAATGGACTGATTTAATTTTAATTTTTTTCTTTTTAAATTAATGGCTGGTTCAAATATATAAACTTTACATATTATATTTCTATAGAAATGCAAATAAGTTATACATGCATCAGTGGTATGGCCTACCTGTTTTTGTTATTGCTGTTCTGTTTTTTTTTTTTGATATGAGGTCTATGTAGTTCTGACTGTCCTGGAACTCACTCTGTAGACCAGGCTGGCCTCAAACTCACAGAGATCCACCTGGCTCTGCCTCCCAAGTGCTGGCATTGAAGGCATGAGCCATCATCGCCTGGCTCTTTTGTTTATTTTTGAGATATTAATTTCATTTCATTTCTCCCCTCTCATGCCTCCGTCTAAGTGGTCCCATAGACTTCTCTTTGCTCTCCTTCAAATTTATGGCCTTTTTTCATCAATTGTTATTGTATGCATATATGTATTTGCATATACATATGTGTTCCCAAATATAATCTGTTGAGTTCACCTAAGTTACTGGTATGTATGTTTTTAGGACTGACCATTTGGCACTGGACAACCAGTTGGTGTGCTTTTCCCCTGGGGGAGGACCGCCTCTCCCGTCCCTAGCTTTACTCCGTTACCTGTAGTTCTGTGTGTACGGTTAAGGCCTCCTGGGCTTTTCCCTGTGAAGTTTGCCATGCTCATTTGTGTCATCCTTGTTCAGCTTGCCTTCGGATGGGCATATTGGTTAAACTTCACGGGTACAGTTTCTGGTGTTACTAGGACATAATCCCACAACAAACTCTCTGATCCTCTGGCTCTTAGAATCTCTCTGCCCCCTCTTCAGCAATGTTCCTGGAGTCTTAGGTACAGGAGTGTTTTGGAGATGTGTCCACTGGGACTGGGCTCCACAACTCTTCATTTGATTGGTTGTGGTTTTCTGTAGTGGTGTCCATCTGTAATAAAGAGAAGTTTTCTTGGTGAGGAGTGGGTATAAGGACAAATGTTAATAGGTTTTTGTGAGGGATTATGCTGGTTTAATAAATTAGTGGTTGCAGTTATTCTCTTCCAATAACCATGACTTCACAAGCCTAGTCTAGGTTTCTAGTACTTCCTCTTGTTGAGTAGGTCTTAAGTACAATTTGTTACTGACAAGGTATGCATGCCACCACTTCATCCTTAGGGTTATTGTGTCATGCTGGTCATTGATGTGGTTCCTAGGCATCCTAGCTGGGTAGGGTAATGTGTTGCCTCCGTCCGCTGAAGCTTGCATGGCACCTTCTGGTACAATGAAAGTTAGTTCTTAGGGAGGGGGTATTCAGGTCAGTTCCAGCTCAGGGGTCTCTGGGCCTGTTTCTGAAGTGCATAGTGTTTTCAGCAATAGGGACTTACTTTCCACATTTGGGGTGTAACCAAGGGCAACAGCCATAGGCTGTATGTTTTGGGATCTTTTGGACAGCCCGGTCCAATAGCTCCGAAGGGAGTTTCTCAGGTCTGGGATTGGGGTTTTTGTTGGGTGGTTTTTGGCTCTGTGCCTTAAGGTGTTGCATGGCTACTGGAGAAGGTTTTTGCTAGATTTAGTCATTTTGCTGTTATTTTTTTTATTATTATTATTTTAATTTTTTTCCTTTTATTTTATTTTACAATACCATTCAGTTCTACATATCAGCCACGGGTTCCCCTGTTCTCCCCCCTCCCACACCCTCCCCTTACCCCCAGCCCACCCCCCATTCCCACCTCCTCCAGGGCAAAGCCTCCCCCGAGGACTGCAATCTGTCTGGTAGAATCAGTCCAGGCAGGTCCAGTCCCCTCCTCCCAGACTGAGCCAAGTGTCCCTGCATAAGCCACGGATTTCAAACAGCCAACTCATGCAATGACCCCAGGATCTGGTACCACTGCCTAGATGCCTCCCAAACTGATCAAGCCAATCAACTGTCTCACCTATTCAGAGGGCCTGATCTAGTTGGGGGCCCCTCAGCCTTTGGTTCATAGTTCATGTGTTTCCATTCATTTGGCTATTTTTTTCCAATAATTGAGTAAAACCTAAATTTATTATAAGCCACAGTCGTCCTAGGGACCTCCAATGCTATATGTATAGCCTCCATGGTTCTATGGGTTGTGGTCTGATTGTTCTTTATTTTATATCTAGAATCCACTTATGAGTGAGTACATACCATAACTGTCTTTCTGGGTTTGGGTTACCTCACTCAGGATGATTTTTTCTAGTTCCATTCATTTGCCTGCAAATTTCATGCTTTCATTGTTTTTCTCTGCTGAGTAGTACTCCATTGTGTATATGTACCACATTTTTTCATCCATTCTGTTATTTTTTTTAAATGCTCTTTTTTCTCCTTTCTCCATCTCTTCAAAGATCTCCGGCAGTTACTCAGGTGTTCTCATGATTCATGGTGTCTTGTGCTGATATTTTTCAATAGTTTTCTTGTCCATTCCTCAGATGTAATAATCTCAGTTGACCCCTCTTCAAGATTACCTTCTTTGCCTACTCACACATGCGAGCCCCTCCCTTCAGTGGTTTTTATTCAGTTATTTTATTCATATTTGTCTCATAAATAACTGTTATAATATATATTTTTATTCATCTGTTTGCTCATGGGTGGCTGTGCATGCCATGGTGCATATGTGGACATCCTGTGTTAGTTCTCTCTTCCCACCAAGTGGGTCTAAGGTGTATGGAAAGCAGGTTGTCAGGACTGGTAGGAAGGTCTTTTATCTGCTGAGCCATCTCACTAGCCCAGATGCTATTTTGTACCTGTAGAATTTTTATTTATTTTTTTTCTTGGTGTGATGGCTATCTTTTTACTTAAAAAATTTCCATACAATGTATTTTAATCATGTTTTCTCCCTCCCTCAACTCCTACCAGAACCTGCCCACCTCCCTCCCCATCCAACTCTGTGTTCCTTCTCTCTATCATTAAAAAGTCCTATCAGCACTGCACCTCACCTGGGCAGCACAGTAGAGCTGACCCTTTTGGTGGTGGTGCAGGTGAGCCAGCCCAGAGCGCATGAAAGCAGGAGAGAGCTGACCTGCCCCCCCACCCCTACCAGCCATGTGGTGGCATGGGTGAGGGAAAGATGCACTTCCCCCATTGCCCCTTGCCACCTATGACTCCAGGGGGAATGAGATCAGGAGAGCAGGCCCTGCACTTCACCTGCGGAGTACACTAAAGTTGACCCTGTTGGCAGGGGTGCAGGTGAGCTGGGCCTGTGGATGTGAGAGTATATGCCATGTAGTGGCACGGGTGGGGGAAATATGCCCTCCACCCTCCATGGCTTGCCAACAGCAGCAGGCAGGAGAGCTGTCATTGGGACATGAGAACAGAAGAGTTAGCCTTATTCCTCACCAACTGCAGCAACTGGGAGAGTGGCCCATATGCCTTGCCTGGGCAAAAGGGTAGAGCTGGCCCTGGTGGTGTGAGTGGGTGAGAGCGGGACCTGATGGTGTGGGAGGAGGAGTACTGGCCCTGCTCCTTGCTGCCTGCACCATCGGGTGAGCTATCCAACGCAGTGCAGGAGAGCTTGCCCAAGTGCTGATGATGAGGGAGAGCTGGCAGGCTGACCAACCCAGCTACCACCCAGGCCTGGAACCAGGGATATGACTTAGCTCACTCCAACAGCCATCTCATTTGTGAACTGCTGGAGTATGTGAAGGGGATGAACCTACAGATCCAAAGCTACAGGATCTCCATGACACAGGACAACAACAGGATATCCAGGGGAAGTCCTAGTGAGGGCCCAGTATCAATAGGGTAACAGGAGCCAGAGGCCTCGAGCCACACCAACAATCCACTGTAAAGACCACTTACAGCCAGGCGTTGGTAGCGCACGCCTTTAATCCCAGCACTCAGGAGGCAGAGGCAGGCGGATCTCTGTGAGTTCGAGGCCAGCCTGGGCTACCAAGTGAGCTCCA